AAAAACAACCCATGACAGAGTCAGAATACAACCTGGTGCTGTTGGTCAGTGTGTTGGTAGCAGTCTGATTAAATGATGGCTGCAGTTCTCATGCAGTGACAGATGTGGTTCTGTTGAAGCAGTGATCATGTAGAAGGGTGTCGTTTTGCTCTGAAGGTCCAGTGCTGGTGTAGATGAGTCTGGTCTTCCTCTGGGATCCAGTGGAGAAAGGCTGCCTGTGGTGTTCAAAGTCTCAGATTATATCCAGGTAGGAATGCTTGGCTCCTCCCCCTGGGCAGAACATTTCACAGTAAGATGATGTCATTTTATCCGTCATGCAGTGAGACTCAATGGCCCCTTAAAAGAAGATATCCCCCTGCAAGGAAGATGGGTCGTGGAAGAGGTAAAGAACACTGCCCCACCTGGTTTCAACACATGGTAACAGAATACATGCTTTTGGTTACATCTTGCATCACAATCCAAGACAAGCTGCTGACCCCAGAACAACTGTGCAAAGAAGCAGGACTGCACAGTTAGTTTATTGAGGTGGTCCCTTGGGATGTGGCTTGCTCTTAAAGGCAAGTTATCCGGGATCCATACCACCACTTTCCTAACCTGCATAACCCACAATTAGCCAGAAGAATATAACTGCTGCTTGAGAAATCAACATCCATTTATATACTTCTTACCACTCTTTCCTTAAGGCATCTCAAACATCAAGGCACTTCATACCTTATCCACACCGCAAAGGTTTAGCTCAGTAATTCCTAATACACATTTGAAGTACATTGTATATTTGAGGAATGATATATGCTTCTGAAAATCAGACAAGACTTGAGTCCAGCTACCATTTCCAGGCAAGAAAATGAGTACAGGAAGGTGCAGCCGCAGCAGCAGGCCAGGAGAGAGAGAGGACAGCTTGGAGCAGCCTGGGACATGTACCTGAAGTCACAAGAGACAAAACTGGAAAGGGAAACATCAAAGTGGAAGTGCTCATTTACAGCAATGAACCCAGGTTGTCATGGGCCAAGTTCTTAATTGCACTGGCACCATCTGCCATGGTTCAACCCTGGCCAGCAGCCACACTGAGCCTCTCATTCACACCCCTACCTGCAGGATCAGGGAGAGAATCAGGAGGGTAAAAGATAGAAAACTCTCAACTTGAGACAAAAACAGTTTAATAGGGAAAGAAAAAGGCTGACTCAAGCAAAGTAAAGCAAGGAATGAATTCACAGCTTCCCGTGGGCAGGTGGGTGTTCAGCCATCCCCAGGAGAGCGGGGCCCCATCACACCTCACAGTGATTTGGGAACACAAACGCCATCACTGCAAACATTCCCCCATTCCTCCTTCTTCCCCAGCTTTATGCACTGAGTGTGATGTTCCATGGTCTGGAATGTCCCTTTGGTCAGCTGGGGTCGCCTGTCCTGGCTGTGTCTCCCCCCCAGGTTCCCCCAGCCCCCCACCAGCCTGGCAGTACGAGAAGCAGAAAAGGCCTTGGCTCTGTGTAAGCCCTGTCCAGCAATAACAGGAACATCTCCACATTATCAACCCTGTGTTCAGCACAGATCCAAAACACAGCCCACACCAGCCACTGTGAAGAAAACTAACTCTACCCCGGCAAAAACCAGCACATCATGCAGATGAGGTCTCTGCACTCTTGACAAAATAACCACTGCTCAGTGTGGCCCAGCATCTCATGGCTGTGAGGACCTGAGTCTATCTTTTGAGAATTTTTTTCTTTTGCATAAATCACCACACTTACTGATGCAAAGGTTCAGGAGCCAAGTCAAACAAAGCACAGGAGCATGTGAAATGTTATTTATGCATCAGGATTTAGTTTAAACAGAGGCCTTGCATTATTACCATTTCTTTGTCACCTTGGAGAGGCGAAGTTTGTCCTTTATCTTTGTGCTAAGAAATCTTTTTTTTTTTTTTTCCCCCTGTCAGTAGACCTCTTTTCTTAGCTGCTGCTTACTCTCTTGCAATCATTTACTCAGGTTCCAAATTCCTTTCCAGTGTTCCCAGACTCAATTTGAAACTCTTGCAGGAGGCAGCAAAAATTAGTTTAGAGAAATAATTTTTTCTGCCAGCTGTCATTCCAGCATTTTCTCCCATCAATTCTTCAGCCTACCTTATTCCTTTTCCTCCTAATAGAATTTTCTGCATTATGATCCCTAAATTGTTCATATTCCTGTTTATGCTTTAGTGCTCCACTTGCAAGCAACAACAGTTTATATTTTCTGCTTCTGGCATTTCTTAGATATTAGTCACTGTGCAAATGCCCCACTAGAAGCTCCATGGAAGTCAGTGAGACTCTGCCAATTCTTGGTAGCACTCCCTTTGACCTGATATTTCTAACACTTCATTGACATTAAATCTATTTTTATATAACTCACATTTTAAATTATATACAACTTTCTTATTTATTACAACTATTTTAAACCTTGGGTTCTTCTATTTGGACAGCAACAATAAGCAATTTTACAGCCCAGAGAAATTAATAATGCTAGCCACTGAGCTCTGTTGTCAGGCCAGAGACCTCCTGATCTCAATGGATTGCTTGGCACAGTCTCTGTATCTATTATTTAACTGGAAATAATATTTTTTTTGCTCAGTATGATGGAATTCTCTGAAATAATTCAACTGGAAGGAAAGTTACCTTGTCAGAAAATCATCATCTTAACCGTTTTAAAGCAAATTTGTGAGATAAGAAGTATTGGATAGGACGAAAGAGTGTTTGAAGGAATAGTATTTCCTTGGAATATGTCTGAGACTTGACTCTAATACGAAGTGGAAGATGA